TCCTTTCCAACTTAGTGATTCTGTGATTCTGAGTCCAAAGCATCGCTGCCCACAGGGCGAGGACAAGCATGGCCTCCCATCTCCTCCCCTCTGCTGAAGCAGTGCGACAGCCAAGTAAGTGACTGTGGGCAACTCCTACGAGCCTCATCAGTGAGAAAGCAGCCGGTGGGCACGTGACAGGCATCCTTTGGACTCCTACGCCAGCCGCTCGGCTCCTCCAGCACTCGTCTGCCATTCATGCCCCTCTGGGCTTTACCATTGGCCTTGCAGTCCTCCTCCTGCAGACAGGCTCCCAGCCGAGCTCTTGGGGCAGGGTATGGCTCTTGCTGCACAAAACACTGGCACAAAACTCGTGTCAGCAGGACACGAGTGCCGTGCAAGCTCTCCACCGCAGCCGAAATGCTGCTATACCCCAGCAGTGCCTGCAGCCTACATGGAGCCCGCAACATCCCACGCTCCCACACCTTCCCGCACCCCAACGTGCCGAACCGACAGACATCCCAACAAATACCTCCCCGTATTTGTTTCCACACTGACAAGCCTGATTTCTTGGCTGCCTCGGCCCACGCGGTGCAAACAAGCCACAGCAAGTGATGGACCGTGGCGGGGCGACTAGGAAGGCGGATCTAAAGGACGTACGTTGACTGCAGCGACTGTCACCATGTTCGAGCCGTACAGCCGGAGCCACATCTCCTGCACAGCTCTCCAGAACTCAGCATAGTGCTCCGTGCTCTTCCCGCACATCTCGGTGATGTCCAGGCCGGATGAGAATATTTTAGGGATGGCCTGGAATCAGGAAAGTGCAAACATCACGGAGAGTCACTGCTCAGGGATGACCCTTTAGCCCTCTAATGCACTCGGCCTGGCAGCCTGAGGAAAGGGAAAGTGATAATTAAATATGACATAAATCAGGGTCTTTTGGGGTTCTGAAACAACCTCCCCAGTGTGCCAACAGCCTGGTCTATCCCACCATCATGGCCTGCAGGGCTGGGACTCTTTTCTTGCAGCAAGGATTTCTCATTATCAGGGTCTCTGTCCCATTCTCAGGCACCACCTCATACCCACGTCACACCTGAGAATAAACACTGGCTTCCCCTAGCAGCTCCCTCCAGGCAGTTCACGAGATCTCAAGGGATGTGTCAGGTTTGCAGATAAGCAGCGTTGACTTTAATGACAAATGACAATACTTGGTTGTTATTCTTCTTCCGCTAGAAAAGGGCAGGGAAGAGGGCACAGCCCTTCCAAAGAACCCCCATCCGCTCCTCCCAGAGATGATCAAAGCTGCCTCCTGGCCATCCCATGCCAGTGACAAGGGAGCCAAGAGACCAAACACGAGCAAGGGAACGGCACCCGTGCCTGCCAAATTGCCCTGCAGCTTGCACCCTGAGCTCAGGACAACACATACGGATGTGAAGATCACGCCCCGGCAGGCCCGGTCGTTCTCCAGCTTCTCCAAGCTTATGCAAAACTCGGTGAGGAAGTCCAGGCTGAGGCTGTTGACTGGGGGGCTCTTGAACTTCATTGTGGCAACACCTGTGCCATGGGAAACAGAGAGACATCAGAACCCACAGCGGCACACGCTGCCTTGCCCAAGGGACCTTCACCCGCCTCCCTGTTTCCCTGCTTACCCCAGATCGTGTCTTTCTACTCCTGGCTCTTCAAAAAAGCCCCCAGAGCGGCAGGACCAAGACAGAGCCCTGCCTTTGCCCAAACCTGCACACAACCCGGGGCTCGCTCAGCCAGTGGTGAAGCTGGAGCATGAACCAGCACACATGTGGTGGCCATTTCATGTGTCCCAAAGACCAGCCACCTCCGGGGTCACACTGCCTGACAGTTCCCTTCTCTCTGGGCTCACTAGGTAAGGTTGAGCCTCCAGCTTCTATCATACAAACAACCCATGTCCAGGAGCTCACACGCCTTTCTGAGCCAGCTGGCAGCACCACCACCCTGGCCAGCACTGCAGAAAGGGCTCTGAGCACTTGTCCCCTCCCAAATAGCACTACCCTACCCCAAAAGGTCCTCACGGAGCACTTAGTCTGTGTGCTGCAGCCATTCCCAGGCTGGGGACCGCACAAGGAAGCACACAGGGGCCCGGCAGCCACAGGCAGGCCCTGGGGAG